ATTAACAAAAGTAGATTATATGCTTGAATTACGCTTTTATTTAAAATAAAAAGACGACTTGTTTTTACCGTACACATTTTTGTGATTTCATACATATTTGAACGAATGTAATCGTGTAAAGTTCGTATATACAATGTGCTTGAATATTTGTTTAAATGTATGTTTTGTAATTAGAAGTTTTAGTAAATTATTGCATTGACGTATACATATGTAAGTACTATTGGGAGGAAGTAAGATAACTACCGTCGTTTCGATTGGCGGCACGAATACATAGTTGGTTGTAGTTTGCATGGCTATTTAAAAAAAGCTTTGAATTCGAACTTTAAATGTGCTTAATACGAGGTTATATGAATGTAAAATAATGCAAAGTATATCATTTAGATGTACACGTACATACATACTACGTACACACGTTTTTAAATATTTACAATAATAAATGTTACAGCAAAATATTAAAAAATACTGTATGCATATAGTAGGTTTCAGTTATTTTTCTCCTATCCAAACAGCTCAGCTTGAGATGTGTCACACACGCATTTCATTGCAATTTTATCAGCAGAATTTCTCTTGAATGTCTATATGTATATATGTATATGGATGTATGTACTTAAATATTTAGATGGCGGTTTTCTACAATTGCGGAACGCTTCCCCAAGATCTCATTAGACCTGTCCGTTGATAACGTTTACCAATAGTCTGTACGTGGAATCCAATCTGCTGCAAGCATTCATGATCCAAAATTTTACGCCCGTCAAATATATAGGCTGGCTTCATCATAGACTGATAGATTCGTTTGTAGTCCAATGTCTGCGCGATTAGTAATAGAAAAAAAAACAAAACATAATAATCACATATTTTATTTAAAGTTCTCTATTCAATAATTTCTTCATGTGGTATTTCACTCACCACAAATTCGTCCCATTCTGTGCAAAGTACAATCGCGTGTGTACCGCGCACTGCACTATATGGATCGCTGTGTATTTGCACAGCCTTCTTGACACTTTCGGGTGATTCCGTTACACTAGGATGTGTCAGATCGTCTATTATTTGTTCTGGTTCAACTTTCGGGTCGTAAATGTCCAACTTAGCACCCTCCTCCAGTAGTGTTTTGCATACTGTTATGGCTGGAGTTTCACGAGTGTCGCCAGTATTTTTCTTAAATGCGAAACCAAATATCGAAATGCGTTTATCTGAGACGGTATTGAATAGGCTTTCGATTATCTGAAAATAAAAAAAAATTGCTTCTTTGTAATTTAAAAAACGACTGTAAAATTTTCACCAATTCACCAACCTTTTGCGAAAATCTCGATTTTTGGTATTCATTCATGTCGATCACCTGCTGCCAATATGCAGCTACTTCGGGCAAATTCAGACCCTCGCATATATATACTAAATTTAAAATGTCCTTTTGGAAGCAACTGCCACCGAAACCCACTGACGCCTGCAAAAATTTCGAGCCAATACGTGAATCCAGGCCGACCGCGCGTGCAACTTCAGAGACATCAGCGCCCGTCGCCTCACACACGGCCGACAATGAGTTTATACTCGATATGCGTTGCGCTAGGAATGCATTTGCTGCCAATTTTGACAATTCTGAACTCCAAGTATTCGTTGTGAGTATATTCTTTTTCGGTATCCAATGTTCGTAGATCCACGATAATTTCTCAACAGCTTTGTGACCCTCGGCCGACTGTTCGCCTCCAATTAAAACACGATCAGCATGCAGCAGATCCTCAATGGCAGTGCCTTCGGCAAGAAACTCAGGATTGGAGAGAATATCATAGCGGACGCCAGGCCTTTGATTCGCATGCAGGATGTGCATGATACTCTCGGCGGCGCGTACCGGTACTGTGCTCTTCTCGACAACGATCTTGTTGGATTGTGCAATTTCAGCGATCATACGGGCAGCGCTTTCAACGTATTTTAAGTCGGCAGCACGACCTACGGTGGAAAAGAATTGAATTGGTTGGTACAATAAGTATATACATAAATATATCGGATGAATTTAATACCTTTGCCGTTGCCGAAATTTTTTGTGGGCGTATTTACGGAAATGAATATCAGATCGGCTTCTTTAATGGCAGTTTCGATGTCAGTGGAGAAGAAGAGATTCACATTACGACATTTTTTGACGACTTCATCTAGTCCGGGCTGTAAGATAATAAATCAGAAAAGAACATTTTAGGTTCATGTACCATTTTGCTGCCTCTTTTCAATTATTAATCGATTTTTGATAGTAGATATTTTGTAATTCCTATTTGTGTTATATTTCGTTGTAAACGTTGGTAATTTTTAAAACGTTGTTAATTATGTCGATGGTATCTGTTTTACTAGTCTCGTACGATGTCTATTGGTACGGCTATTACAATTTTAAGAGCATAACTCGCGTTCTTTAGCTAGCTGCATGCTTTCCTATTTGAAATTTATACGAATGTGTAAGTTTATAGGCGACCGCTGTGGTGTAGTGGTTAGCAGTGGGCGCTACCATTCCGCAAGGCCTGGGTTCACGCCCGGTTCAACCCAACATCAAGAGATTAAAAAAAAACCAAAAAGTTGTTTTCTAAGAGCGATCGCCCTTCGGCAGGCAATGGCAAATACCCGAGTGTATTTCTGCACATATGTAGGTACTGGTAAAGACAGAGTGATCTCAATCAGGATGGGGGAAGAAAACAAAACCAAGACTTCTATCTTCTTTCAGTTCAGCAGATATAGTATTGATAAGAGAACAAATCAATGAGGAAATGTTCAGGCTCGACAGCCAGGCTGCACTAAAGGCATATTTTCTTGTGTAATAATCAAAAACCATATACAAAAACAACACTGTACAACTTACGTGGATCACGGGCCTCAAAAACAAGGACAGCAGCAGCAACCTGGCCAATAGGAATAGCCTTCCTTTCTATAGAACTACATACATGCATACATACAAGGAATTCATAAGAGTAGAGGAGCAAAAATACCTTATAGAAATTTATAACTCCAAGAAATTTAGTTCAGACGACTTTTGTCATTTTAGCGATATGGCGACAGAAAGCCCACTGCATCTCCTTTTAGAACGCGGCCGATAGAAGAAGACGACCATACTTGGCGGAACCGTGGGAAGAGGTTACGCATATTGACTCTCTGCCGACCCTGAAACGGTTGAATTTTATTAGGGCTTTAAGGCTAGAGCTGATCGTGTAACGAGTGTTAGAAGCACTATCGACCCAAGGTCGCAGTATAGAATCATACATTATACATATCTACGTATATATGTACATAACTACCTCCCGACGAAATACTTGAAGGTAGTACTGGGGGGAAATACGGTACAGGAAGGTAGGAGATTTAGTTCGGGTTAAATTCACACACTGATGGGTATACTTCCTCCTCGTAAAAAACCCTCATATCGAGTATTGACTATGTGTGAAGAAAATGATTTTAATATAAATTCTTAAGCAAAGTTTAAAAGTAAGCCCAGTGAATTTAGACTTCTTAAAAAAAAATAAAATTGTGTTCGGAAATTTTGACGTTGTTTACTTCTACTTGACACGTATGTATATAGATTCACAGTCTTGCACCTAAAAAAGGTTCAATACAAATTTGTAAAGAATTTAATTTCAAATATTTTTTGATATAAACGTTAAAAAAAAGTTTTTACTATAAATAGTTGGCAAAGAGTGCGAAAAATTGGTACATTGTCACGGTTCTCGCCAAAGTTGTAGAAGATTTCATTCTTCACAACTTTTATAATAACATTTTTTTGTGCGATGCTTAGATCACGAACGGCCTCCGCTAAAACTAATTTCCACACCCCCGCTGAGTAGAGCTTTTCTGCGCGTTTTTGTCCCGTGTTTTTTTTTTCGAGCCACAACTAGCGGTTATCTTCAACAGAAATTGTTGAAAAATATTGAAAATAGTGGCAATATAGTAAATGGTTTATTTGAATTGTTTATGGGACGCTCCACGTCAACCGGTACAGTACGCTGCCCAAAGTTCTGTGGGACGGATTACAAAGATAAGGCTCTTAGTATGATGGTCGCATTGAAAACAGTGTGGTCTTTTAAAAAATTCAACATATCGTCTCAAATATGGCATCTAAACTATTTAACCGTAAATTAGAATTTGCTTTGCAACTTACATACATATGTGCCACTGGAGAACCCAACACTAAAACAGAAAAAGCAACAGCAGGTTCTTAGTACACTTTTGGGGTTGCTGAATACGAACCTAGAGCTTGATTTTAAAAATTCATGATGGCGAATTCAATATGGCGCCAAAAAAAAAAACTTAAATCGGTTCGATCTGCTTGAAAGCATTTCCATATTTCAAACTTTGTGCAAAAATTATAAAAAATATGCAAATTTTCATCTAGATTCTCTACTTTTTACTCAGTTTTTTCAATTTTTTTTTATGCAGTTTAATAGCCCATTAAATTCTGGTGCAATAAAGTGCAAGTTTTAAATTGCTAAAAAATCGCGTTGATTTTTAATATTTTTTTTTTCGGACTGTATTACGCATTTTTTCCAAAGGTATAACAATTTGTCGAATATATGTACTTTGTATATGTATATGTACTTATTTATAATATAAATATATATTTATAAACGCATACAAGGCAGTACCACGCGTGTTCCCATGACTTTGTACACGTACAAGGTGTTACGCGCGCAGTTGCCCAAACGGAATTGGCGGCGAGTGGCATCATAATTTGCTCACACATTCGGTTCTAATCAGTTTTTTGTTAGTTTTAATTGTTTTTTTTTTTCTCTCTCTTCGTTACACAAATTGCTAATGTTCCGCTAAGTCGATTTTTGGCGGATGAGCCCAATAAAAAAGGCAGGTGCATATATTTGCATTTGCATAAACATATACAAACATACATATGTATTTGTCGAGTCAGAACGTGTGTATCAGTATGTGAATACTTCCACGAAGTTTAGTTTTTGCAAATAAGTAAATATTTTCAGGTAAAGATGATAAAAAACCACAAACGAAATGTATGTACATTTTGGGCTTGCGCTCACTGACGTACAACAAAATAACAACCCAGTGGGAAAAGACTTAGCCTCTACATGTGCAATAATGTATTATTTTTCTGAGTAAGGTTGCCACCTATTAAAAAGTTAAACGATTTTCGCCATTAGTTGGATTACAAAATGAGATACCAAATGAAAGGGCCTGGCCTTCGCATGTACAAAAGCATTAATTTTTCGAATAGGGTTGCCACCTATTTAAAAATTCTTATCTTCTATTAATAGTATAAAGGAAAGTCGAGATATGTATTTTTACCACGCTAATCTCAAAAACTACTGAATGGATTTACACCAGATTTTTTAAATATAATCTGTATCAAAAGGAATATTATCTTTAGTACTTTAGATTCCTGTAGGGTTGCCATCCGTCTAAAAAATTATTAGATCCGCATTGTTCGTTGGATTACAAAAAATAGGTGTCAAATCAAAGAACTCGGCTTATGGATGTTCCATCATGTATTACTTTTTGAGTAGGGTTGCCACTTTTTAAAAATTATAAGATCTCCGTTTGTTTGTAAAAACTGAGGTACCAATAGAGAGGATATGATCTCTGCATGTGCAATAAGTTTTTATTTTTTGTTTGAGTGGGGCTGCCACCTATTTAAAAATTATATATGTATGGCGTTTTTTGTTAATGACATTAGATTTGCACAGTGCATTCGACTTAAAAAAAATGAGGTGTCAAAGGAAAAGGCTTGACCATTCGATTTGCAGTAGGGTTTTATTTTTCGAAGAGGGTAGCAAACTGTGCGAAAAATTAAGAAATGCGGGCTATACGTTAAATGACAAGAAATGAGGTGTCAAATGAAAGCTCTTGGCTGCCAGATGCGCAAATTATTTTTTAGTAGGGTTGCAACCTGTGGCGAAGCCTCGCGCATACGAGGCCGCCTAGTATGTATATATGTATGTATTTCCATAAAAACTTGTAAATTTTGTAAGCAAAAAACGAGATTTATTTACGAAATTTTCATTTGGATATACATATGTATGTATATAGTTTAGGGCTGTGCGATTAATTGATTACTCAAAATTTTAATTAATCATAAAGTAAATAACTCAATTATTCGATTAATTGGAAATTATGATTACTCAAAAGTTCAGTTACTCGAGTAATCAAGATTTTTGATTAACCAAAAACCAAAATATTTGAGTAAAATGCTTTATGATTAATCAACATTTCGAGTAAAATGAGTAATCAACATTTCAACTCTTTACATATGTATAAAGTAGTTAAAGTTCCTTGATACTTTGAAAACAACGTTTCTGTTTTCAAAAATTAAAACAAAAAATTTTTTTCATGTACAGAATGTAAAAAAGAAAATAAGCATTTTCCAAAGCAAACTCTATTAACGAGCAAAATTATTTTTTTTGAGTAATCATATTTCAAGTAACTTGATTAATCATCGTTTTGAGTAATCGAAATCTTGATTACTCGAGTAATTGATTAACCGAATAATTGATTAACTAACTTGCTCGAGTAATCGAATAATCGCACAGCCCTAATATAGTTACTTTGCACTAAATTATCTCAGACAGAATTACTTGCCATAGATGTTTTGCTTGAATCCGCAATGAAATGTTCCATTAAAAGTTTTGCAAAATACTTGAAGAAAACGATGTAGGAGTTGTTAGCAACTTTTCACTCTAAGCTAGCCATATAAAATTAAGCAGAACAGAGTGAGAAGTTTTATCGCTCAATAACTTTTTTTAACTTTTTAATGGCAGAGTTTGTAGTCTACACAAGTATGTAAGTATGTATGTTTGTTTGTTTGAAGTATTAAAAGATAAACCCATTTCAACTTTTCATGGCAAAGATATGTACATACAGTCACTCACAGAAGTATTCGTAATTTAGTTTTTTCACAATATTCCAAATGTTTTCCAATGTAAATTTTTTTCGCAAATTTTCATTTAAAATATAGCTCATTCTACAACAAAAACCATATAAATGATTCTTGCAAACTTTGTACAAAATTCATAAAAATGAATCAAACTTAAAAAAATTTCAAGATTTTAAACTTTTTAGAAAAATGTTCAGTATGTAAGGCATGAACAAAATCTATTTTTATATGGAAGAAAATGCGCAATACCCTCGACAAAAAAAAAATTCTAAAAAATCAGCAGTCATTTCTAGCTGCTTGAAACTTGCAC